GTTGCAGCCATCATTGTTGTTTGGCAGGCCCGGGCTAGATTCGAACCCGCCACCTTAGGTGTATGTGGCTGGCACCTTAGCCACTTGAGCTACAGGTGCTGAGCCACACCTGACTATTTTTTAGAGAGAAGGTCTCATTCTTGCTCAGGCTGGTCTCAAACTCCCGAGTTTAGGTAATCCACCCACCTCAGCCTCCCAGAATGCTAAGGGTTACAGGTGTGAGCCACTGCACCTGGCAAAACAGAACAAAATTAAAGAGTACGCAGTGATGTGACAGTCTCCCTCCATGTGCACCCTCCTGCTCCCGTCCCTGGGCAGTGATATCTTGCCAGGAGGAAGATGACTCTTTTTTTTTTTTTTTTTTTGAGACAGAGCCTCAAGCTGTTTCCCTGGGTAGAGTAGAGTGCTGTAATATCACAGCTCACAGCAACCTCCAACTCCTGGGCTTAAGCGATTCTTTTGCCTCAGCCTCCCAAGTAGCTGGGACCATAGGTGCCTGCCACAATGCCTGGCTATTTTTTGGTTGCAGCCATCGTTGTTGTTTGGCGGGCCTGGGCCAGATTTGAACCTGCCAGCTCAGGTGTATGTGGCTGGCTCCTTAGCCACTTGAGCCAGAGGCACCGAGCCAACTCTCTCTCTCTTTTTCTTTTTCTTTTTTTTTTAGAGACAGAGTCTCACTATATTGCCCTTCGTAGAGTGCTGTGGCATCATAGCTCACAGCAACCTCTAACTCCTGGGCTTAGGTGATTCTCTTGCCTCAGCTTCCCGAGTATTAGGTGATTCTCTTGCCTCAGCCTCTTGAGTAGCTGGGTCTACAGGTGGCTGCCGTAACACCCAGCTATTTTTTTGTTGCAGTTTGGTCAGGTTTGAACCCGCCATCCTTGGTATATGGGGCCGATGCCCTACCCAGAGCCACAGGCACCATCCCGGGAAAATGACTCTTAAATGTGTGTTGTCATGTGTCCAAGTTATGTATTAAATGGTAATACCAATTAATTCTGTTATTAACTAACTGCTGTGAATTCACATTATCCTTATTATTTATTTATTTTTGAGACAGAATCTCACTTTTTTGCCCTTGGTAGAGTGCTGTGGTGTCAGTAGCCCACAACAATCTTTAACTCTTGGGCTTAAGTGATCCTCTTGCCTCAGCCTCCCAAGTAGCTGGGACTACAGGCGCCCACCACAATTCCTGGCTATTTTTTTTGTTGCAGTTGTCATTGTTGTTTAGCAGGCTGGGGCTGGGTTCGAACCCACCTGCCTTGGTGTACATGGCTGGTACCCTAACTACTGAGCTACAATCACCACCCACGTTATCCTTATTTTGAAAGGCTTGTAAACAGCGTCCTCTGGCCAGGATTGCTGAAACTTTAGAAGGTTGTTTGGGACATAGAAGGTGACATGTTTTAAGGTTTGTGTGAAGGCCTCATTGTGGCCTTGAGGTGTCTGCCCCTGAGCCCCTCCCATGGGGACCTCTGGGCACAGGGGCTCTCTAATGCTACATAGATTAACCCTAACTTTGGGTTTCTTGAGAAAATTGATGGGAAGGAGGGAGGGGTGGAGTTTTCTCCTCTCAGTGATTAAAGAAGATGTCACATACTGGGAATTAACAGATTAATCTCATAGTGCTAGAGGCTCTAAGTACACAATCAGGGTGTTGGTAGGAAGGGCTGATTTCCTCTGGGCCTCTCTCCGAGGCTTGCAGATGGCTGCCTTCTCACCGTGCCCTCCCTCACATGGTCTTCCCTCTGTCTCTGTGTCCTCGTTTCCTATTTATTTTTTTGTTGAGTCAGGTCGTGGTCTCTAGGCTGGTCTTGAGCTCCTGGCTTCAAGAGATCCTCCTGCCTTGGGCTCCCAGAGTGCTGGGATTATAGGCATGAGCCCCCTAGCCTGGTCTTCATCTTTTTCTTTTTCTTTTTCTTATAAGGACACTGGTGTGATTGGATTAGGGTCCTCCCATGCGGCCTCTCTGTCACCTCTGTGTGAAGGTCACATTCTGAGCTACTGAGTAGGTCAAGGCTTCAGTGTACAGGTTTTGGGGGGAACAGTTCATCACATAGGAGTTATTCTTGTTTTTCTTACATTAGCTGTTGTAGAGAGCTTCTGTATTCACATCAGATTCTCAGAGGGGACTTTGGCCTCCGAAAGTTCAAGAGTGAAAGGTGTCTGTTGGTAATTCTTTTGCCAAGCTCTGACACAGACATGTGTGCAAGAGTCACCTGCGTGTCTGGTGAGAATGTGAGGACACTGATTGATTCGGCCTGTGTGGGGCCACATTGTCTGGGATTTTTGTTCTTTGTTTGTTTTTATTTTTGTTCTTCATTTGTTTTTATTCACTCTGTCACCTGGGCTAGAGTGCAGTGGTGTCGTAGTTCACAGCAGCCTCAAACTCCTAGTCTCCAGTGGTCCTCCCACCTCAGCCTCCTGATAAGCTGGGACTACAAGTGTGCCCCACCTCTAGTGGCTAGTTTTTTTGTTTTTTTAGTAATGGAGCTTTGCTCTTGCTCATGCTGGTCTCAAACTCCTGGGTTTAAGTCATCCTGCCTCCCGGAGTGCCGGGGTTATAGGTGTAATTTTGACAAGCTCCCAGGTGATTCCAGGGCTGCAGGCTGTGACGTGACAGCTCAGGTTGCCCTCTGACCTGCTCTCTCCTTAGGTCCATGGCTGATCACCCGTGGGAAGGGGATCTGAGCAGTGATGGAGACCTGGGTAAAGAGGAGACCTGGATGTCTTCTGGGAATGAAGGGTTGTGTTGGAGAATTGAACTTTGGCTATTGAGGCTCCGAAAGACACATCTGGAACTGATGGATGGAAAAGAAGGGCGGCAGTGTTGATACAGGCTGCAGGCTTTGGGAAGAGTTAGAATGCGGAGAGAGGGTGTGGCTGTGTGGAATTCCTTTGTGTGAGTCTGCAGCAGTTTTATGAACTATCCATCTGTTGGTGGTGGATATTTTTCACTTACCATTTTGCTGCCTTGGCTGGGTGTGGTGGCTCATGTCTGTAATCCAAGCACTCTGGGAGGCTGAGGCCCGTGGATTGCTTGAGTTTAGGAGTCTAAGCAAGAGCAAGAAACTGTCTCTAAAAAACTACCCGGGCATTGTGGCAGGCGCCTGTAGTCCCAGCTACTTGGGAGACTGAGGCAAGAGGATCGCTTGAGCTCAAGAGTTTGAGGTTGGCTTGGCGCCTGTGGCTCAAGTGGCTAAGGCGCCAGCCACATACACCTAAGGTGGTGGGTTCGAATCCCCAGCCTGGGCCCGCCAAACAACAATGATGGCTGCAACCAAAAAAATGGCCAGGCATTGTGGCGGGCGCCTGTGGTCCCAGCTACTTGGGAGGCTGAGGCAGGAGACTCGCTTGAGCCCAGGAGTTGGAGGTTGCTGTGAGCGTGATGCCATGGCACTCTACCCAGGGGGACAGCTTGAGGCTCCATCTCAAAAAAAAAAAAAAAAAGAAAAGAGTTTGAGGTTGCTGTGAGCTATGAAGCTACAGCACTCTTACTTGGGGCAGGAAAATGAGATTCTGCCCTCACCCCCCCCAAATTTTTTTTTTGCTGTTTGGATTTTTCAACATGCACTTCAATGAATAATCATACCCAGTAACTCTATTTCACATTTGTGAGTAAATTTGTAGAAGAAATTCCCCAGAAATGCCAGCTCAAAATGTATGTGCAATTGTAATTTAAGTAGACAATCCCAAATTGCCTTCCAAGGGCGTTTTTGTCTCTTCTAGAGTTTAAGAGTGCCCCTTTCCCCCACCTTGGACTAATGTGGTATCATTAATCTGTATAATTTTAGACATTTTCTTCTGATAGAAGAACAATGGTGTCTTGTATATGTACCATGAGCGAAACAGACCATGGTATTTTTATATACTTAAGAATCATCTATATTTTGCAAACTTGTTTTGATATCATTTATCTTTGTTTGGGAGTGGGTCTTTGTGTGGATTTGTATGAGTTCTTCATACATCAGGAAACTTACATTTATTAGCTGAGTCCATCCACAAAAGGTTTGCTTTCCGTGGTCTTTCAGGAGTACGGATGTGGCTGAGCTGCAGGTAGCTGCTGAGACTCTGGGTTGGAATTTTCTAGTAATCTGCCTCAGCTGGGAAGGCTGGAGGGAGCCTGGCGCTGCTCTGAGCTGTGTGCTAACGAGGCCTTTGCAGGTGCCCTGGGGTCCTCTCTCAGCTGGGAAGGTAGATCATGGAAATTGAGAATAAGTTCTCAGTTCTCTCTGCTTTCCCTCAAATTCGGTGTAGCACAGTCCTGCCATGTTAATTTTTACATTTTCCTCCCTTGATTTTGGTTCATATAGAAAATCGGAGACCACAAAGAAGTAGAAATGAGAACAAGAAAATCTCGCTTAGTCCTTTGTGAGTAACTCTGGGTGCGCCCCTCTAGGTTCTCTGCAGATGGAATAATCGCATTAAGACATGTCACCTGCAGCTGTCAGCACTGCTGGCCGGTAGCCTGTTTCTTCTTCCCGGAGCAGTCTGCTGTGGCCACTGTGACTGTCCCTGTTGTTGGACAGTTAGGGCATTTCTAGTGTCCACTGTTAAAATGATCCTGTTCCCGGCACCTCTCCTGCCTTTACATCTCTGGAGATTTGAGTCAGAGGATGTGAGTTCGAGGGAGTATTCTGCAAAACCACTCTTGCTTCAGACACCAGTGGCAGGTTTTGAGGTCCCAAGGGCTACCTTCAAGTTCACTCACTCACAGGAATGCCTTTCACAGCTCACCGAAAGCAGTTCTACTCAAGGTCACTGTTTATTGCAGTGAAAAGACCCAAATACATCAGCCTGGGAAGACATGTGTCAGTCAGTGTCCCAAAGAGCTCCAAGTGTGGAGTGTCCAGGGGTCCTCTCCTTGTGGAGGTGTGACAGCAGTACTTCCCTGGCACTGGTCTGTGATAACGCATGTGGGGAGGCTTGCCTGAGTCTTAGGGCACAGTCAGATATCGTCTGGGTGGCTGAGCTTAGTCTCCGGCCTCTCCGTAGGCACAGTGGGTACCGTGTGGGCCCTTTATCCTAAATTGCATTGTTAGGCTGTCTGGTGGGGCCCAGGAGTCCCATTCTTCCTAGTGTTCACCTAAGAGACGCAGGCAAAATGCCTGGTTAGTTCTTTACCACTCAGCTCTAAAGCTTTTGACCCATGGTGCCAGAAGTAAGCCCTACCTTTTAAAGAATGGCCTTTGCCAGCAGAGGGGTGGGGATGGGCTGGACCTGGCTGGACTGTGTGTGTGTAGGCCTGGCTGCTGGTGGTTGTTAGTGGCGGGGAGCTTGCACTTACTCCTTTGGTGTCTTGCACACATTAACCCTGTCATGTCTGGGTGGCTGTAAAAGTTCTGAGTAAGATGGAGACAGGAGTAGAGGTCACTTGCCTTAGTATGTGCTCACAGCCCAGGGGACAGCACTTCATATGAATGGGAGGCTGGGTCCCCGGACAGCCTGCTGCTCTCCTGCTTCCTAACAGTGAGGCCCCTGCACTTGGCGGAAGGGGAGTGCCCAGGGCTCTTTGCAGGCTCCATCTGCTCTTGGAGGGATGGGGTCTGTGCTCCTGGCATCGTGCGTGTGGCCATTCGGATTTCAGATTGTTGCTGAGCCTGTGCTATGTTAGTGAACACACAGCTGGTGCCGGCTGCCCTTTACCTAATCCTGTGTTTGCTCTTGGCTTTTGAATTGGCATCAGGGACAAATCTGCTTGGGGAATGTTTGCATTGGATGGAGCGGAGGATGGATGGTGCGATTGCCTGTGATCACGATGCCAGGTTAGGACTTGGGGCCTCTGCAGTGTGGCTCGTGGGAGCTGTGTGCCGGCCGTTGTGCTGCCACCCGTGAACCACGGGGTGAGGCCTGGGCTGCCTTCCTCACGTCCCTTTTCCTCAGGAAGAGGCTTGGGCTCCGTGTGAGGTGCAGTGCCACCTTCTCTTTCTCCGGGTGACACTGATGGGTGGTGGGGCAGGTGGCAGGCATATGGTTATTGCCACCCTCGAAAACTTGGCCCATTCTTCAGCATTCTTTTCTTAAAATTTTATTAGAATTTTGGACTTGGGAAGTTTTCAGCATTAAGTGGAGTGAATCTTTGTTCTTTCTCTAGTGGAAAATCAGAGGAGATTTTTTTGGTAAGGGGAGTAGATTTGGGAACAAGAGTGGGAAAGGGAAGGGGAGTGGGGAGGCCCATCTGCTGGGTGGGAGGGCGGGTGGTGACTCGGAAGGGGAGGGGGGAGGCCCATCTGCTGGGTGGGAGGGCGGGTGGTGACTGGGAAGGGGAGTGGGGAGGCCCATCTGCTGGGTGGGAGGGCGGGTGGTGACTAGAATAGCAGAGTGTGCTGGGTGGCATCCTGGTGGCTTTTGGGTCTGATAGACCCTCCTGGCCTTTACACATCTGACCAACAGTTCAGTGTAAGGGTTCCTTGTGCTCTGTCATCTGCGTCTGACTGCCTGAGGCACCGGCCCGTGGGGCTCACATGAGCAGCAGCTGGACGTGCGCCTGGGGAGCTTGGTTGCTGCTCTCTTCCTGGAGGAAACCTTTGAGGCACAGCCTGGGTGGAAGTTGTGGGCAACAATGTTCTTTTCTGGGGGGTGCAGTTTAGAATGGCAAAGGGCTGGAGGACCTGTAACTTGGGCAGCTCAGGAGACATTTTTCTAGCCCAGTGAATTACAGCCAGGTTTTCTGAACCAATAGTGAGGACACATGGTGGCAAGTGATACTTTCAGTTTTGACACATGCATTTATACCTGAGAAATCTCACGAGTGCAGGCGCTGGCTTGGGAATCGCCTGTGTGGGAACAGGAGCGGTGCACAGGAGGGCCCGAGCCCCAGGAAGACAGATCCAGGTCTGTTCCAGCCATGGAGGGGCTCTGCTCTGTCTGCTTTGCCCTTGGGGTCTAGCTGTTGGAAGTGCAGGTCTTGGGAGCTTGGGCTGAAGCAGGTGTGGGCACTTGGAATCTTCAGTTCCCTGGCAGGACCTGACCGGTGGCTCTCTGGAGGCACGCTGAGGCAGTGCCTGCTCAGAGTGGGGGTTCAGGGCTCAGCTCTATCTTTTGATACATAATGAGGGTTTGAGGGGGTCAAAGAACAAATCCCCCAACATTTTACAATGACAGTGGTGGGGAACAATTTCCTTAAAGAAAAATATTATAAAAGTAAAATTTGTCCCAGGCCCTGACTCTGTCCGGGTTCCTTGTCTGGCACTGTCCTTAGCAGCTGGAGCGTGTGGCCGGGCCGAGGCACGAGCCATGGGATGTGCAGCTTGCGGTTGAAGGATCCTGTGCTTGTGGAAAGTAACTGGGGGTGTCTCTCTGGCCTTGTAGGACCGTGGTGAGGAGGTGTACGGCTCTGACCTTCACCGCCTCTGAGGAGAAAGTCTTGGTAGCCGACAAGTCTGGAGATGTCTACTCCTTTTCGGTGTTGGAGCCGTGTGGAGACGGCCGTCTTGAACTTGGACACCTGTCTATGCTGTTAGACGTGGTGAGTGGGATGTGCGGAATTCCTGGCTGCTCCAGTCAAGGTCAGGTGGGGCAGAGGTCCGGGTCTGCACCTGAGTGCCCCCCATGAGCCCTCTGCACGTCTGCCAGAAACGGGCATTAGGAAGGCCGAGCACCATCAGGGCGAGCACAAATGAGTCAGGAGCTGTGGCGGTTCTAGCTTCAAGGAGCGTGCTAGTCGGACACCAGGTGACCCTAGGTCAGGGGTGTCTGTAGGGAGGTGGGAGGTGCAGGTGCAGCCCTCGGCTCGGCCTCCTTGGCTGACTGTGTCACATGCTTTATGGACACCACGTCCCAGCAGTGCTGACAACCCACCCTGCCTGTCCACGTGTCAAGGCCCCTAGGTGCCCAAGAGGCTGGGTGAGGCCAGGACCCCCAGCTGAAGGTGGAACAGGGGTTGACCCATATGGGGACCATCAGGAACTGGGGTGGGGTATGCAGGAACCTCACGGGATGTGGGGACATGGGGAAGCAGGGAGGGGAAGGCCTTGAGACAGGAAGGTGCGGTAGGTGAGGGGGTGGAAACAGGAGTTGGGTTTAAGTTTGTTGGGCAGAGAAGACAGGGTGATAGAAGTGGCTGTGACCCTCTGCAAACCTGGCCCAGTGCTAAAGGAACAGTGCTGACTCTCCTTTGGCTGAGGCCTGCACACAGAGGATGAGGGCCCAACGGCTGGGCTTTAGGGGACGGGAGGAGGAGAAGCCCATGCTGGCCTGGGGTCCTTCCTCTTGGGGATTGGGTGGCAGTCCCCTGCTGGACGTTTTCAAGGCGGACTCAGCACTGGGGAAGAATCCAGGCGTTTGGTGATACCGCTTGAGCAAGCAGGAGGCTCTCGCTCCCCAACCCCAATGCAGGCTGTGAGTCCTGACGACAGCTTCGTCCTCACTGCCGACCGGGATGAAAAGATCCGGGTGAGCTGGGCAGCTGCACCACACAGCATTGAGTCTTTCTGCCTCGGACACACAGAGTGAGTCCCCTGGGCCCTTCCCGCACAAAGTGGTGTGGGTTAAACACAGGTGTCTGGGGCTAGCGCACCCTCTGCAGAGGGGCCCTGGCTCTCCCTGGCCCCTGCAGCTGTGTCTTCTGGTGGCCGCGTGCTTTCTGAGCCATCTCCTCAGGCCTGCTCTCCCTCACTAGAGAAGTCCGGGTTGGCCTCCTGACCAGGGCTTGCTTCTGGAAAACTCTATCGTCAGCACAGAGATCTCTGGGCAGGGCCTGGCAGTTCTGTGGATGTGCTGAGGGACAAGGAACATTGTTTTGTGATTTAACTCTATGAGAATTGAGCAGCCTCTGACCCCAGCAGTCATCTGTACCCCGTGAGTTTCCTGGCCTGAGTGCTCCTTCTAGGCAGGTTTCAAGGTGGGGATGGTCTAGAGAGCACCATCTTCAGAAGGCTCAGTGGAACTCATATGGAGGAGAAGTGCGAAGTTTATTGGCTGAAAATTTTTTTTTTTTGGCAGTTTTTGTCTGGGGATGGGTTTGAACCTGCCATCTCTCGTATATGGGGCCAGCGGCCTATTCCTTTGAGCCACAGGCACCACCCTGGCTGAAATGTTTTAAAGTAAATTATTTGAGGCAGTGGAACAAACTGGAGGTATTTTTTTTTTTTTTTGGCACAGAGTCCCAAGCTGTCGCCCTGGGTAGAGTACTGTGGCATCACGGCTCACAGCAACCTTAAACTCTTGGGCATAAGCAATTCTCTTGCCTCAGACTCCCAAGTAGCTGGGGCTACAGGCACCTGCCACAATGCCCAGCTATTTTTTGTTGTTGTTGCAGTTGTCAGTGCTGTTTTAGCTGGCCCTGGCTGGGTTTGAACCCTCCAGCCTTGGTGTATGTGGCTGGCGCCCTACCCACTGAGCAGCAGGTGCCACCCGAAATTGGAGATATTTAATTCAGGTCGTGGCGAGGAGTGGGGAGATGCAGGGACGAGGGGGAGGGGCGTCCTGGCAGCAGAGGCAGCACGTCCCTGCAGGGATGGTGCTCACTTTCTATGATCGAATAAATAATTTATTTATTTATTTATTTATTTATTTTGAGACAGAGCCTCAAGCTGTCCCCCTGGGTAGAGTGCCATGGCATTACAGCTCACAGCAACCTCCAACTCCTGGGCTCAAGCGAGTCTCCTGCCTCCGCCTCCCAAGTAGCTGGGACCACAGGCGCCCGCCACAACGCCTGGCTATTTTTTGGTTGCAGCCGTCATTGTTGTTTGGCGGGTCCGGGCTGGGGATTCGAACCCGCCACCTTAGGTGTACATGGCTGGCGCCTTAGCCGGTTGAGCTATAGGCGCCGAGCCAATAATTTATTTTTTGAAATTGTGTTTCAAACCCATGGAGTTGTGGGCTCCATCCTTTCCTGTTGAGAACTGTGAGGCCACACACGCCCTCCGTGGTGACCCTGCTGTACCATGTCTGTCTGGAACTATGGGTTGCTACTGTTTCTTTTATAGGGCCTGAGGGTACCTCAGGGAACCTCAAGTACCTGTGTGGAAGGTGGGCTGCCCGGGGGAGGATGGTTCTAGTGCAAGGAAGAAAAGGCAGGACGGTCTCCTCTGCAGGTGATCGAGGCCACATTTGTGACCAGCACATCCAAGACAGGTTTCAGGAGAGCTGGGTGGCTGAGTCACTCTTGGAGGCCGTCTGGATATGAAAGCAGCTGGGACTTTGTGCCCCGTGTTGTTGCAGGCAAGCCCTCCGGTCCTGGTGCCAGGCTGCACTGTCACTGAGGGGCTGTTGGGGCTCTGGTCCCATGCTGCCTGTTAGCTTGGCTGCCCCCTCCCCTGTGCTTGGCTTCTGAGTCTCGCCTGAAGGTGCCGGGGAGCCTTCAGCACAGGTGCCCTTGCCCAGAGGGTGGTGGTCACCCCAAGGACATGGTGTTTGGTCCTGCCTCGCTCAGTCTGTCCAGGGGCTGCCACTGGGTTACATGTGTTGCTCCTCCTGGCTGGTTTTGTTAGAGGTCCGGGGTTGGGGACAGAAGGATTCTCTGAGATGAGCAGGTGGTGTCTGCAGGCCCCCCGGGAGGCTGACACCTGCTTCTGCTCTCCTCTCAGGTTTGTGAGCCGCATCTTTGTGCTGCCTGCTTATCCTGAGCTGCTCCTGTCCTCCTCAGGGGTGAGTGCCTTGTGCAGCTTCTGCCGGGGTGGGGGATGGGAAAGGGCCCTGTTGGGGGTGTTTGGTTCCCTAGCCCTCACCAGCTGGCCACTAGAGGGTGCTGTGTCTTGGTGCTGCCCAGGCTTGTGCCTGCCCACAGCGGTCGCTCAGAGTGGCTTGTGCACTTGTGTGTACGTGTGTGCACATGCACACATGTGGTGAACTAGACCAGGTCTGAAAGGCATCTGTTCTGAGGGCTGCTGGTCTATCCACGCCAGTGTTAGCATCTCAGTTAAAAGATAGCTAGCAGGGAGACCTCTGACTCCTGGACGTCAGACCCCTCCTGTGAGCCGCACCCTTCAGCCTGCCCAGAAGGTGGACACCCTCCCAGCAGGATACCTACTGACTAGCTCTTGAGGTACCTGGCTGCACACATTTTTTGGTTGTTGTTTTTTGAAATAGTCTCACTTTGTCACCCTTGGTAGTGCCATGGCATCATAGCTCACAGCAACCTCAAACTCTTAGGCTTAAACGATCCTCCTGCCTCAGCCTCCCAAGTAGCTGGGACTGCAGGCACCTGCCACAATACCCAGTTAGTTTTATTTTTATTTTGTTAGTAAGAGAAAAGTTTATTTTCAAATATCATGCACATGGTGGGCGGAACACAAGAATGTTTATCCCCACCCAGCTATTTTTAGAGACTAGGTCTTGCTCTGGCTCAGGCTGGTCTTGAACCTGTGAGCTCTGGGCAATCCACCCTCCTCGGCCTCCCAGAGTGCTAGGATTACAGGCATGGGAGTGAATGAACATGCCCATAGATGCATGTGTTGGTTCCCACATTTATTTGCCAAATTTGTGGCAAAGGAGGGATGTGTGCATGTGCTGTGGTGTGTGGGTGTGCACGTGTGTGGGGTGCATGGTGATCTCTGTGTGTGGTGTGATGTGTGCATAGTGAGTGGTGTATATGGGGTGTGCATAGTGAGGGGGGTGTATGCATAGTGTGTGTGGTGGGGTGTGTGTGCATGCACGTGTGGGGGGGGTATGTGTGCAGTGTGTGGTGTGTGTGCATGCACGTGTGGGGGGGTATGTGTGCATAGTGTGTGGTGTGTGTGCATGCACATGGGGGGGTATGTGTGCACAGTGTGTGGTGTGTGTGCATGCACGTGTGTGGGGTACGTGTGTGTGTTTGTGGGGATGTGTACATACATTCATTTCCTAACACCCCGTGGATACCTGGCTACCACTAGCAGTTTGGGGTGTTAACTCTTCCTCTCTTTCTTCTGGCGATTTGGAAGCACTCACAAATGCTCTCCCTTAGTTTTGGTCAGCTCTGAGCCCTGCGGTATGTGTGGCTGTGTGCCTGTCTGTCCCCAGTGACTGGGGCGGCTCCTGGGTGGATGCCTGGACCAGTCGCAGCTTGCCTGTCGCTCTGCAGACTCAGGCTCCTCTCACAGCCCTCCACATTCGTCAGTGCAGGAGTTCATTCTTTAAAACAGACTTTTTCATGTGGTTACTTGAGAGCTCTGGGGCTCCTGGCATACACATCGCTTCCCTGAAAGGTTGTACCAGTTGGCATTCTTGATGGCAGCCAATGGACCTGTCCTCTCCACCCATTTTATTTTTTAATTGTTTTATAGTTTGGGGCTGGGTTTGAACTCGCCACCTCCGGCATATGGGGCTGGCGCCTTACTCCTTTGAGCCACAGGCACTGCCCCTCTCTCTCCACCCATTTTAAACAGTGATGTGGCACAGTGGTGACAGTGGTGACATGCTCATGAGCCTACACACATCCCCTGTGTGAGCGCGTGATCCCAGAAGTGTCTGCACCCTTACACGTGCATGTGTGCAGCCTGGCCCAGGCATAGCAGACTGGGTGTTGACCTCCTAGTGTGTGATGATCTGGTTGTGGGTGTCTTTGGCCCATTCTGCCCTGGGTTGCCTCTTTCTCTTGATGTTTTGCAAGAGCTCTTCATACATTGGGTGAGCAGGGAGCCTTACGTTTATAAGGTGGTGGTGGCTGCCACTGAGTCCCTACCCCCAGCTGTCCTCCGTGTCACCCAGAGCTAGAGGAAGCCCTGTGACCCTGCTTGCTAACCTGTCCCTATCATGTTTATAGGACGGCACCCTGAGGCTCTGGGAGTACAAAACGGGCCATCAGCTGTGTTGCTGTCACCTGGCCAGACTGCAGGAGCCGGCGGAGCCTCAGGACCACAAGGTAACTGTTTGTGCTCACCCCGGGGCCACTGGGTTCTGACAGGGCGCCTCCCAGTCGTGGGGGATGTGGGAGGATGCCTGGTTGCCGTGCCGTCGCTGCCAGCCTTTCAGTGTGGGGCAACCCCATATTCCACATTCTGATGGCATCAGCGTGTGCTGTGCCTGCCTACGTCTGCACGGCCGGTGTACGGAAAGGCCTCTAGTTCCCCTTGGACGGAGGAGAGAGCATGAATGGTGCTTCTTGAGCGGGGTGGGCCTGTCCGCCTGCCACTGACCTATGACACCCAGAGCACCAGCGTTAGCATTCAGGCGTGTCAGTTCTGCTGCCCAGTACCAGGCCCTCCCTCCACCTTTCAGGGGGCTTGGGTCCATGTTCAGCATTTCCCCTGCCAGGAAGTGTGGGAGCTCTTGGGCAGTTACATCTGTAATCAGTGATGTCCTTCTGTCCCCTCATGTCCTCCAGTCCCTCCTCCTCTTTTGATCAGCTTTGTTGGTTCTGGAGCATTTCACAGGCTTGGGAAGGGCCAGGGTACCGGAGCAGCTCGCGTTGTCTGTCTGGGCAATTTGGTCCATTAGAGAACCAGGGAGTTAGAGTTGCCCTCCTTTCCCCTACTGCCTTCCAGAATGTTCTAGCTTTATGTCCGATTTCTCTTGGATATTCTGTGGGAGCCGTGAGCATCTTGGTCTGTTCTGGATGGCCCCGTGTGGGTTCCCAGTAGGTACCGGGCGGGTCACCAGCTGCTTTTCCTTTCAGAGGTTTGCCGCGTCCAGGATTGCCTTCTGGTGCCAGGAAGGCTGCGTCGCACTTCTGTGTGACAGGTGAGCTGCCAAGGCAATGGGTTGTGGGTTGTTCCATGGGCCCATGGGCTGGGTCCCCTTCAATGAAGAGGCTGTAGATGTGTGTACAACTTTCCCCTCTAGGACAAGGGTCCGTAGCCAGGCTGCCATCCTTTTCCTTGCTGCTTAATTCCTTGGACTTACAGGGTAGCAGTGGCCTCTCTGAGGCCTTTTGTGCATGGTTTGAGCTCCTGGCTAGAGGTGGGTTGGGGAGTGGGGTGCAGTTCCTCTGATTCTTCCCGAGCACCCTCTGCGCTCCAGGAAGGGTATTTGCTGCTTCCTACACTTCCCACTTTGTCCTGGGGAAGTTGTCTTGGCTTGTTGTAGAAGTAAGGATGCAGGCACAAGGACAGGAGTGCCAGCAGGCAGCCCTGAGCCCAGTGCTGCGTCCTGTCTGCTGCAACACGGGCAGGATGGCGTCTTCTCTCGCCCCCTCCCTTGGCCTAGTGTTGGTATCTGTTGCTACGCAACAGGGGAGCCTGGAGTTTACAAACTTGTACAGCAAATGTGTCATCTCACTTGTCCCCGGTTTGGGAAGTGGCTTGGCTGGGTGCTCCGGACGATGGTGTCCTCGCATTGGCACTGGGGTGCTCCCTGTGGTCTCAGTAATTGTCCTTTCTTTCTCGTGGAAGCGTCCCTGTGGTCTACTTCTTCCAGCTCGACGCCCTCAGACAGCAGTTGGTGTACACACAGCAACTGTCCTTCCAGCACCGGGTGTGGGATGTGGCTTTTGAGGAGACACAGGGCCTGTGGGTTCTGCAAGACAGTCGGGAAGCCCCCCTGGTGCTCTGCAGGCCTGTGGACGGCCAGTGGCAGGTGAGATTCTGCAGCTGCTTCACGTCCCCAGGCCTGTGGTCCCATAAGCTTGCTGGGGACAGGGAGGGTTTTGGTTCTGCATGTGAGTCTCTTCCCGCTAGGTCACTTCTGGGTTCCACAGGCTGCTCCTGAGGGGCCTGATGTGAGTGAGGGGAGCTGAGTGCCCAGCCAGCTTGTCCCATTGGTGATGCCCATAGCAGTTCCCTTTGGGGGGTCACCATCGTTGGCGTGTTTCTCCCATCCCACACTTGGGTGAAGAAGGCAGCATTTGATGTAGCTTTAGTGCACGCAGGAGGAGGAAGGCCGTGGACTGTGCACCCTCTCAGAGCTGGTTCCCAGTGACATGGGGGGTGACCCCCACTTGCCTGTCTGGCAACTCATGTGGGGATGAGTTGGATGAAGTGTGGGACGTTCTTTGTGAATCTTTGCTCATCCACCAAAGCTTCAGAAACGCCCTTGGAACATTCAGTTCTTTGTGAAAAGCAGCCTTCTCAATAATGTCAGCCACGAGGTCCCAGCCCTGGGGCCCCTGAGCCGGGAAGAGCTCGCCCTGGGTAGGGCTGGTTGGGACAGGGTGTGGTGCTGCCTCCTGGTGTCTTGGTGGGAGTGCTGGGGTCACTGGCCTCTTCCCAGGCCCCCGCTGTGTCCAGGCCCAGCACGGGTTGCATGTGGGGCTGGATGTCCACCCTGTCTTCTGATGACCGTGTCCCGCTTGTCATCTTCAGTCGGTTCCTGAAAATGCTGTGTTAAAGAAAGTCTCTGATGTTCTCCGTGAGAACTGGGCCATGCTAGAAGGTGAGAGCATGAGGCTGGCATTAGGGTGGTGCCCAGTGCTGTGCACAGAGAAAGCAGGTCACGGACTGCGACCCACAGTAGGGACTCATGGAGTGAGTGAAGACCAGGCCTTTGGGATGTGGGGGTGTCTGCGTCTCCCCATCCAGAAGGCAGTTGGGGGGAGGCACACCAGGGGCAGAGTGCCACCTTCCTCATGGTCTCCAGAGGGCAGCTCATAGCAGCAGTTTCCTCAGCATGGAACCAGGAGACCACTGATAGGTTACAGGCCCAGCTTGACTTCCTGATCTCAGGTGTGCCCTGTTCTCTTGGGAACTGGTCTCTAGTTCAGCCGGCGTAGGGGCCAGGAGCTGAGAGCCATGGATCCCATATCAGCAGGTGCTTTCTGCAGTCCGTGTCAGGTGGTACCCGGTCACTGCCCTGCCTCAGGAGGGCCTTGTGGGAATTCTGAGTTCTGGGCATGTGGGGACCCCAGCTGGAGGCTGAGTCTCCTCTCATGGCCCCACCTGGCATCTGTTTCTGTCTCAGGCTCTGCCGGCGTGGAGGCCAGCTTCAGCAGTCTCTACAAGACCACCTTTGACAACATGACCTCCTACCTGCAGAAGAAAGAGGAGCGACTGCAGCAGCAGCGGGAGAAGCGGCAGCAGAGTCCCCCGCCGGGGCCCAATGGGCAGGCCAAGAGGGCGAGGCCGGGGCGGGCAGCCTGGACTTGCTGAGCTTCACGCTTGGTGGTGGTGCTCCCAGCCTTGGCACAGCCTGGGCAGTTTTCACTTGTTTCCCCTCACCCTGGCATCTCCACTCAAGAAGAAAAGGCTGGGCTCGGCGCCTGTGGCACAGTGGGTACAGCACCTGCCGCATACACCAGGCTGGCGGGTTTGAACCCAGCCCAGGCCTGCTAAGCAACAATGACAACTGCAACAGAAAAATCACAGGGTGTTGTGGCGGGCGCCTGTAGTCCCAGCTACTTGGGAGGCTGAGGCAAGAGAATTGCTTACGCCCAAGAGTTTGAGGCTGCTGTGAGCTGTGATGCCACAGCACTCTACCGAGGATGGCATAGTGAGACTATCTCAAAAAAAAAGAGGGGGTGGCGCCTGTGGCTCAAAGGAATAGAGCGCCGACGGCCCCATATGCTGGAGCTGGCGGGTTCAAACCCAGCCACGGCCAAAAACTGCAAAAAGAAAAAGCTGATAGCTGGTGGTAGTTTGATTCTGCCCAGCATGGTTCAGGGGACTGGGTGGTCCCTTGAGCTCTAGAACATTCTGTGTTGCTGAGCACAGGCTCCTATTCTGTGCCCCTTCAGTGGAGGGAGCCGTGCAAGGTGTGCTGGAAGTGCCTCGGAGCCCCGGATCTTCCTAGTGGAGCTAGGGGAGCCTGCAGCAAAGGCAGTTGCCCATGTTTCTGCTGTATCCAGAACCTCATTCATGCACTGGGCCTTTCTCTGTGGGCACCTGGTTTCATGGCAACACAATGGCCATGAAAACATTTACGTTGCCCCACAGGTGCCACTTGCCACATGGGGATGTTAAGACTCAAGCAGAATCAATTCCTGCTTCTCCCAGCTCCAGCCCCGGGTCTTATGCTCTGTATGCAAGGGTCCCACGTGGGACGTGCAAGAACATGTCTGTCCTGCAGGTTGGTCTGCTGGGCAGTGCAAGGTGGACTTGTGTCGGGAGGTGTGGGTTGGGGTGCTAGAAACCGCTCTCACAGGGACAGGGTTGATGACGTCCCTGTATTTACTGCTGTGATGTGGCCTCTGTGTGGCAGCTGGGTTGTCACTGCATCTATACTGCCCAGCAAGGCCCAGCACCCTGCCTGGAACTGGTGTCAGGAGGCACTGGGCGGGATATTTAGCACCCACACTGTCGTGACTGCAGCGTTCACTGCTTCATCTGGACAGAAACATTCTTTCACTGGTGGGCCCTGCCAACTCTGACAGCAGCCTCTCAAAGATGGGACAACTGTGTGTGGGGGTGACAGCATTGGTGTGGGGTCTCTGTGGGGACTTGGAAACAAAGTCCTTTTGTGCATTTCAAAAGCTGGACTGATTCAGATTTTTCATAAGTGCCTTTTCTTTTAGCGTTGATAGGGAAACAGTACTCTGAGAAACGCCGTCCTCACACGAGCTGCACGGCTGGAGTCCAGAGCAGGGGTGGGGCGGGCCATTTGTGTGAGGAACCTTGGCCTGGTTTCCACTGCGGGGCCTCTGGGAAGGCACATGTTCTCATTAGTAACCTGCTATAAAGTCTTGGTTTTAGGAGAAATATAGGTTTGGTCACTTACGAGACAGGTGGGCAGGTGATGGCCAGATGCCAGGCGCTGTCCTGCCTGAGAGTATAGGGCCTGTGAACCAAGAATGGCTTTTATATTTTTAAGATGATGGGGAAAAAAAAGCAAAACTAATATTTCATAATTGAAAATCATGAAATTAAAATGTTAGCATCTGTGAATAAACTTCTACTGGGACACAGTCCCACTGCCAGGGGCTTAACGCACGTCTGCCCTGTGGTAATTACAGCAGCACAATCTGACAGTGTGACCTGCAAAACCAGAAGTGCTCATGTGCCCCACAGGAAAGTTGACCTTCCACTTAAGGTCCTTTTTAAATCTGTGTGTGTTAAAAAAGATCTGGTTAATTTTTCTAGAAAAACCTACCTGTCTGCATGCACTTTGACATGCTTTGTCTTCAGGCGCTGGTGGGTATTTCCTGTGGGCTGGGCCGAGAGAACGTCTTGGGACACAGTAATCGGTCATTGTGTTCTCAGCCAGTGGCTCAGATTGGGCTGGAGCCCTTGTGGCTTCAGGTCACTGGACAGGGCGGGGGCGTTGCTGAGAGGTTGGGAGGCTCCAGGCACGCCAGGCTACTTGTGGCAGTGCTAGATCATTTGCGGTTAGAGTAAGGAGGGGCGGTGGGAATCACTGTGTCTCTCTGCCTTTGCGTTTAGTCACACGTGCACAACAGTGGGTGTGTAGCGCTGAAGGGCTGGGGGCTCAGTGGGCCACGCCCCACCCTCTGCCCTGCTCCAGCCCCCCACCCAGGCCACTGCTTTTTCCTCATTCTCCTGACCTTTGCTGCCCACTGCCTAACCTCCCAACAGCCGTGACACCCTGTCAAACAAAGGAGGTGCTCACTAGGTGAGTCATTCTCCCTTTACTTTCTCAGACCTGTTTGAGCCACTTTTGTTCCAAGACACATGTTGACCTCAGTTCTAGGTGGGTTTGGCCAGAGGAAGCCCAGCAGGCAGTGTGGTGGTGCATGGGGGGTGGGAAAGGGGTGTTGGGCCCTGTTCCCTCCTGCAGCACCCTCCTGGGGGCCTGGGGCCAGGCTGGAGTGGCCGCTAGTCCTCAGCATCCTGCCTGCTCCAGGGCCCTTCGTCCATCTAGGCTGAGTGTGCTGCCTTCTTCCTGCTGGGACCGTGACTGAGCCTGCATTTGCATGACCCTGGCTGTCCCAGAGATTTCCTTTATAATTGGATGTACTGAATCCTATCCACAAATTTAACCTTCACCTACAACAGCAACCCCACTGTCTTCCTGGCCTCCACGATTGCCTTGTGGCTGTTTTGTGAGGTGTCTGTGGTCCCCCCATCTCCTGATTTGCAAAGTAGGTCATTGTCCCTTGAGTTTTATCTGCTGACCCTGTGAGAGGGCGTGGCTTTCTTATCCCTTCCATTTTACTGTCTTTGCTGTGTCCTGTTCTCTTAATTTCTGCCTGTGGTACTTTTTGGATCATTCCTTGGACTTTGTTGTACCTCTTATTTGATTAAAAAAATCTGGTTATCATGTTTCTTAATTCTCAGCGCTTTCTTGTTCTTTTTTCATTTTGATTATAGTATATATAGGATTCAACTGGGAAGTGTATGGGGACGATGCAAACTGAAACGTCACCACCTGAATACAGTGTAACTGTACCCACATGACAGGACATTGGCCAATCAATGCAAGGTTCCCCTTCCCCCATGTTCCCTTCTGGTCATTTCTTGTCCCCTGAAGAACAATGGCCAGGCTGACGTCAGTTTATCCTTTGCCACTTCTGGCTTTTGCTCAGCCCTCTGAGATGCAGCCACCTTATTGCTGTGTGGTGTCTCCATTCCTGTTGCTACATTAACTGTTGACTGAAGAAACTGTGTGTCCATTTACTGTTTGTTTTTTTAATTAAATCATAGCTGTGTACATTAATGCAATCATGGGGTGCAGTGTGGTATTTTCATATACAATTTGAAATATTTTCATCAAACTGGTTAACATAGCCTTCATGCCATTTTCTTAGTTATTGTGTTAAGACATTTATATTCTACATTTAGAAAAATTCACATGTACCCTTATAAGATGCCATTTACTGTTGATGGGCATTAGGAGAGCTTCAGATTTTAGTTATCAGAAGCTGTGTGGTGATAAGCATTCTGGTGTGTTTTTGGGAATGTCTGTGAGCATTCCCATTGGGTGTATTCACAGGAGTGACTAGGCATAACTACTGGCTGGCACTTCCACTGAGAAGATCCTGCTGATCCTTAATTCCAAACCCTGACCACAGGATGTAAAATTCTGCATGTTCTCAAGCTCAGCCTTTGAGGCTGTGGTGATTCACAAGCGGCCTTGAAGGGCAAAGCCCCAGGCATTCACCATGCAGAGTGAGGCAGACTCGTATGGGCCCGTTCCTGCCTGTGTCTAGACCTACACTCACTCTTGCTCGGTCACCTTAAAAACCTTGGGTCACTAAGTCTTGCATCATCCACCCCGGAGGAAGCTAGCCACAGGGCCATGAGGACATGTAGGTCAGCGGGACAGGGGATTGGCAGCTCTGCCGATGGCCCCACCTGAGAAGAGCTTTCTGCGTCTCTCCATATCCTGTATTCATCGATGTGCTGCATTACATGATTTCTCTGATCCATGGGTTTAATTGTGGTTTAATTTCCAGAAATTTGGGTGGCCCCCCTCCCCGGGTTTGTTGTTACTGCTGCCTGGTCTAGACCCATTGTGGTCACAGGGTCCAGTTTGCTGATCTCCTTTTGGATTTATTGAGCCCTTCCATGTGCCCTTGAGTGTGTAGGTGCATGTGACCACCACTGTGGTCAGAACAGGTCTGTTCCGAGGGTCCCTCTGGCTGCCTTGCCATGGCAGCCCCTTCCTCTGTCTCCAGCCCTAACTCCTACCACAAATCTGTTCTCCCTTTCCATGATTGTATCATTTCAAAGGTGCTGTGTAAGTGGAATCATACCCTGTGTAACCTTGGGAACTGGCCTTCCCCCTCTGTGCAGTGCTCTGCAGATACGTCCAAAGTGTTGGTTTGTATCAGCTGTCATCCTGTGTCATCCTGTCTGTGGCTCATCCTGGGGGTGGGGCATGGGGCGTGCTGGCCTCTGGCAGGCAGGCATCTGGACTGCCTCAGGGTTCGGGCTGTTCATGTTTTGTAAAGCTATTGTGAATATTCAAGCACATGTGGATTTTTTAAGAAATGGGTATGTGAATGTAAGTTTTCACTTTGTTGGGGTAAGGCCTCCAGAATACAGTTGAGGGGCTGAATGAAGCATGCGCTCAGTTTTGTGAGACAGGGCCTTGCACCGCTCACCTTGCTCCCAGCCTCTCTGCTGCCCCTGTCGCTGTGACTCCATGTGGGCTGTTCTGGTAGCTGGCACTGCTTTGACATCATTCCTTGCTTTCCTGCTGGCTCTGTCCTCTTCAGTGACACACCCCTTCAAGGGCTTTACCATTTCTTTTTTTTTTTTTTTTTTTTTTTTTGAGACAGAGCCTCAAGCTGTCCCCC